AAAATCCATGATATTTACCCATGATATTTACATAAAACTTACACTGGCAATCACCTTACAATCGAAATGCTTTATGGTCGTTTTGTCCCCTTGCCCGTTTCGTCCCCTTCACGTTTCGTCCCCACTCGACGAAAATTGGTAGGACTAATTTTGGCGGCATTTTGTATCATATGGCGCTCGTCTAGGGAAGCAAAAATCTTAAGGCCCTGTCACACTATTGCGTGTGAGAGAAACGTATGAGAAGCGTATGAAAATCAATGAAATAATTTTCATAGCACAAAAATCCTTTGAAATGCCAGCGTATGAGTACCGTACATCTGGAGTACCTCTAGCGTATTCAGCGTGTGCCTAGAGTATGCTTATCGTATAAAGCATACGTCCGATATTAATACGCACAAAATTTCTGAACATGCTTAAAAAAAATTTCCTGCCTCGCCGTATGCCATGAGCGTATGCCACCGTATGCGACCGTGCTTGAAACGTATACAACCTATGCCTAACGTAGCCCTAGCGTATGTCAGCGTATACCGGCGTACGAGTGATATTTTTCATACGCTGGCATACGCTAGTACGATACGCAATAGTATGACAGGGCCTTTAGGTTTTGTCCTATATGTTGAAGATTACCACAAACTGACAAAAACACAGTTTTTAATTCAGTCCCCCTCGACGAACTGACATCCATGTTGTCAAAAACATTGCGATCTTAAGCTCACTAATGACAGTCATTCTGTCATTGGTCTAGTTTTCCTCAGACTCAGTTCCAATTAAAATAAAGTAAAGTCAAGTGTCACTATATAATAGTCACTGACAACAGCAATATTAATATTGTGAAATAAAAGCCAAATATTTAAGTTACATTTCAAAGTTTCGGAATTTAAATACAAAAATGTGTATTATCTCCAGGCATACAATCCACTGAGATACAATCTCAAAAAGTAAGATATATTGTATTAAGGAAGTAGGTTATAGATGAAGCAGTATTTAGTCTGGGGACGAAACGTGAAGGGGACGAAACAGCAAGGGGACGAAACGACCAGTTACCATCGAAATGTTCATCTAATAAAACCCTTCTACAATTATATTCGTAAAATGTATTCGCAAACAAATTGTGAGCATGGCCCACGTGCGGTTTCTCAGCGCCGTTCTTCGCAAGAGCCTGAAGCAAAGACGGGGGAAAGAAGCCGAAAGAGGACGCTCTATATGGCGTATATTTGCCATCTCTGCGTGCATAAAACGTCTTCAGGGAGGCCACGAAGTTAGATGAATGTTTATAACTGTAAAAACTTGCATCTGCTTCAAGTGCTGAGACAAACTGTGCACACCTGGAAATATACTACTTATCGTTGTAATGAATACGCTGTCTTCGCATGAGAACAAAGTTTGTTTTCGTGTTTTGACCTATTTGTGGCTGTTTATATGATCTCTGGGGTTTGCCCGGATGAAAGACCGGATGATTTTGATGTATTGAAACAGTCAATGGATAGTCCCATTTTTGGTAGCAATGATAGCCGCAGAAAGCATGAAACGCGCCTCATTTCCAAGTTTGGCACTGTCCATGGTATAAATAAACATTGTCCCCCATGGTATAAATAAACATTTTTCTTATGTCTAGCTATATCTGTCCTTGTTTAACTTTAATTCTCACATTATTCCCTACTTCTTTCATTATATTCATTATATATTATTCCTTAGCTTCCTTTCTTTCTCCTTATAGTAATATATTCTGTAATGTAATTTACATTTTTTGTTTACACTTTGTTTTGACCGAATCCATGTGATTGGTTTATTTTTGCCACGTGATCACTTTTATATTCACCATTTGTGTTTATCCTTCACATAAGGTCCGTTTGCACTTGCAATTTTTGCTGGGCGGTGTAAGGCGGGATTTTCTTCTTCTGATATGGATGTAAACGAGTGTCTGGTGAGTTATGAACGTTCAGATGAAGGAACATGTACTCAGAACATTCTTAACTTTTCTACTCGTTCACATGCATCAGAGGAGGAAAATTGCACTAAAAATCGCAGCAACTAAAATTGCAAGTGTAAGTCTAAATTATACTAAATTTTGGCCATTTCGGGAGACTGGCAGAACGCGGTGTTAAAAAATATTTTTTGTGGACGAAAAATTCTGAAGATTTTCCCTGATCAACAAAGAACAAAAGTAGTACATTTAACACATTTTGAACGGTTTGTTCCAGTGTGGATGGAGCCAATAATAACACGCTTTCGTTGGCCGACGATGGGCCTTAGAAACGTCGAATGGACCATTTGCATTATAGACTAAATTTCATCACAGCTTGAAAGAGCATCACAAAATTAGTAATATTCCAAAGTTTCGTTGCGAAATGTTGTAAAATGCGGATAATATAGCCTTGCGAAGTTTGCGGCCGTTTTTCAGTCATTTTGCATTACGCGGGGGAAATTGACAGCCCAATACACTTTGGGGCTGTCAATTTCCTGTTTGTATAATAGAAAATGACTGAAAAACGGCAAACTTCGCAAGGCTATATATTATCCGCATTTTACAACATTTCGCAACGAAACTTTGGAATATTACTAATTGTGTTATGCTCTTTCAAGCTGTGATGAAATTTTTATCTAGACTTGTTCTGCAGATCAAAATTTAGTCTATAATGCAAATGGTCCATTTCGCTTTGTATTTTTCACATCCCTACCATTTTAACGAAAGCTTTTATACATTTAACACATCCATAATTTAAAACATTCAATTAAGTATAAGTCGTAGTTCTTTCCGCAGAGGAACTACCAACCCCGGATGAAAAACAATATTTTTGATCGCCAGATACAGTGAAGGTTAAGTTTGGCTTATCTTTAATCTTTCTTTAAAATTTTTTTTTAATTTTTTGCTTTTTTTTCATCACATCTGCCGCCCCATGTGGCGACAACTGCAGTCATCTTTGGGACTTTCTGGCGCGTGTTCATTAAATCAGCAATCGGTTTTGGAAGAGATTTACACAAATTTACATAAAACCTTCGAGATTTTATCATTCGAGGTATAATTGAACACTATATTTATCCGTCAATCTGTGCTTTTGTAAATGCTGTACATAATTTGAACACATCCTGTGAGGAAATCAGTTCACTTTTGGCAGCATTTTTGCAGACACGATGGCCATTGAGTTAATGAGCGTGTCACGATAAGCGGAAAAACTGTACAATTAATTCAAATTCTCTTTTGTATTTATAAAGCAATACAAAAATTTGGCACAAATAGTACTTAGTCTTTGTAGTATAAATTTTTTTTCATATATGTATATGTATATGTATATGTACTGAATATTCGATTGTTTTTTTGTCGGAAAGAAGTCGCTCTCGTAGGACTCTTAGCCTTCAAAACAAACTAATATGCACGTTTTCTCAAAGCTATAGCTTTTTTATATTTGTGTAGAAGAAAATTAACAAAAATTAGAATACCGACTGGGCCACCACAATGTCTATAATTGCTACTTGCCATGTATTCATTTCAAAGAATTAAAGCAATTGAAAATTATGCATTCAATGGTAAAAGATTGCAAAACGTATAATTTGTATAGTCTTGTTGTTCTTAATGTCTCATTGATGTATATATTATGCCTAAATGTTATTTTGCGTTGTTGAAATATTAAAAATTATTATTATTATAAATTAATCTTTCGCCTTATCTGAACAGGAAAACGTTACTCGACGTATTTTCATTTCATATATCCCGAACTTTATTCAACTTTGTTATATTACCAAATTAATCACGCAATATAGAAAATGACGTGATTTTTCTGTCTTACAAAGTATACATGCGCATCTTGTATAGACTTGTATTTTAACGAAAATTATTACATGTTTTTCGTGCTAAACTTTATCTCATCATAGCGAATCAATAATTATAAAGCATCTAAATTATATGCAAAGCCATACAAGAGTATAAGATTAAGATATATGCCGAGTTGCTATTTTTAATGCATCTTTGATTTGCATATAGAAATCTTTTTGATAAATTGCGAGATAAATTACCAGATGACGACAATGCTTCGCAAGGTCGAAAACAATCGTAATCAATGCGACTCAAGTTCAAAATTAGGAGGCCGTTGGCGTTGATCAGTTTTAAGTTTTTAAAAGAGAATCTCAGATTTCAAAAGGACCTTTTCTGTATATATACCTTCTTCAATTAATCTGTATCAAGGTAAATTGTGAAAAACAAATACTGTTTTAATTTTATTTTGATATTTTGTTATGCGTGCGTTTTACATAAGTCAACTTTAATAGTTTAGTTGGTCTGTGTGCCGACAGTATAGGCTCCGGTCAAACTATAGGATGTCGGATGAAAGTTGACGCAGTCACGAGCATTGTTATACGGGGGACAGTTACGGGAAACAAACAAAGTATATATGTTGTGATTAAAGTGTGCAGTGACAGTATATAAACCTCTTTCAAAACAGACAAAGTCTGGCAGACTCCTAGTTATTTAAAACGCAAAAATTATTACTTTAGTAAACTTTTGAGGACGCTTGTCGATTATAAAACAATGAATGACTGTGTAAAGGTAGTGTTAGTTGCATGAGAGCCTACAAACGAGAACAAGAGCTGCACGAGAGTTGATGAGCGTGATATTATCACGCACGCATCATCAAAATTTGAATCGGCTTGGCGATGATGAGAGTTGGCATGAAGTCACGCGTTGTTACCGGGGACAATAAAGGTTTGATGAATGTTCTAACTATGTTTTAACTTCAGTAGAATACATGATAGTGTTGGGAAAGCATTAAGAACAGCTAACCAAGATCGCGTGACTGTCAACTCTGATGCACTCTCATCCTCGTTTCATCCGGGCTTAACAATTTTAGGGGCGATTCTCTTCTTCTGATGAATGTAAACGAGTGGAAGAGTCATGAATGTCCAGATGAGGTACATATATACTCACAACATTTATAATTCATCTACCCGTTCACATGTATTAGAAGACTAGAAAATCATACCTAAAGTCGCAGGGAAAATAGCATAAACGCGCCGGCTTCACCTGTTTGTAAATTTACATAGATAAATTTCTGTATGCGTATTTTGTAAGTACTTCTAAAATGTAGTCCTTCATATGATAATGGTTCTGTTATTTTTCAGATTTTGTATCAATGGATAGTCATAAAGAGTCTCACCACTTTCCATTCATCGCATTACGTCATCAGCGATTTCCGCATATTTTCCAAGCTGACCCGACAGGCATTGCGAAGCTAGCCTCCCGCGCTTCGCCACGCTCGGAGTGTCGTCGTAATTCGTCGGCAAGTGAGCCCGCTGAAACTCACATCGAGACAGCGTCCCGTTGGCTGTTCATGAGCATCAAATGGGCGAAAAGTCTGCCATATTTTGCCGAGCTTTACTACCCAGATCAGCTCGAACTTTTGCGGCAAAATTGGAGCAAGTTATTCCTGTTTAACCTCATGTACTTCGAGATGGTTCCGAAGCCGGATGATTCCGAAGATGACGTCAGTGGCGCCCTGAGAGATGTGTTTGTGCGATGGAGTGAGGCAAACCTGAGGCCTGAGATTCCGGGAAAGATTGAGCATAGTTTAGAGAAAATACGTCGTTTGCATATGGACGAGACGGAGACATTGTTAGTTAAGTCACTGCTGCTTTTTAACCCAGGTATGTACTGATGTACATTATTTTTCAATAGCGATCAGTCGACATAACATGCTTCAAACACTGAGCTGTCTTTATAACTGGAGCAAGAACTTCAGTCATTCATTCGGCCTATGAGCTGTGTGACCAGATTTGGTAAAAAGTTTTACTTTTGGTAAAATTTCGTGAATATTCCGAATGGAAAGCGCCCATGCATAGATACAATACAATACAATTTTATTTAAACACTGTAAAAATCTTCAGTTTACAAATGGTAAGTATATGATAAATTAAATAAATATAAAAATACCATGAACTGGTTTACAAGATTGCTGTGTGGAAGTCGGGTAAATTACTAGTTACTATTAATAATATTCCGCTATTGCTTTCCTAAATTGGGCAAATGATTGTAGTTTTCTTATATCTTGGGGAAGACTATTCCAAAGAACTGCCCCACCATAGCAAAAGCTTCGTTTTAGGTAACTCGTTCGTGGCTTTGGCAAATTTAACCGTATTTCGGAATTTCTAGATATGAGCTCACTGGTTTCAACATTGTTCATTTAGAAACTGAAGGTTTGGTGGACGCGTCACAAGTACAGGTGACACAAAACAAATGCCACAGAGCGCTGGAGGAACACGCTTCATCGACAAACCCAGGAGAACGAGACCGCAGTGGTCGGATACTTCTCACCATACTGACTTTGAGTACATTTGAAGAACGAGATATCGAGGCCATGTTTTTGTCAGCTGTACTTGGCAATGCAACAGTCACCTCTCTTATGGAAAATATCTTATGTGCGGATACAATGTAATCTTGTAACATCAAGTATTAGACTTGTTTGACCAGCATAACATGCGACATAAAATGCAGGTCGGTTTGTAAGGGATTTTATGAAAGAATGATTTTATAGTTAATTGCTGAAGATGGTGCAAACAGAATCGAAATATACAGTTGAATTAAAATGAACTGGTACTTTCTAAATAATCTGAAACCTTTATGGTTCATTTTAAAACAGAATGGGGTTAAATTCTAACAGTGCTTCGTTGTATATATGCATTTATACCATTAAGCTGCGGAGCTTCCCCATTGACAAGTAAAATAAATCGTTTGGCGTTAGACAAGTAAAAAAAATAAGTAGGGCGCACTGGGCGCATTGTGACCCAATGGGTTAACTAGAGACATTGTCAGATTTTTTGGTTAATTAACCCATTAAGCTGCAGAGCTTCCCCATTGACGAGTAAAATCGTCTGGCGTTAGACAAGTAAAAACAATAAGTAGGGCACACTGGGGCGCATTGCGGCTCAATGGGTTAATATTAAATGATGTGTGTAGCAATCAATCAAACCACTGTTCTATATATATATATATTTGCATAATTTTCGATTGGCTTATCGACGAATTATCGCAAAGTTTTTTTTTGTGTTTTTTTTTTTAAATCCACATAAACAAATGGTTTTTGTTACTGATTTACAACCCCTTTACCAATTTATAAAGTAATGTCATCAACTTTTGGTGTATTAGCTGTTAAACCGGTCGCTCGAAGAGGGTCGTTTTGTATAAAATTCTGTTAGTATTACTAAATAACACTCATATAGACTTCTTTCATAATAGACTTATCGCGAACTATCCAGAAATGCTCGACTTTACTGCACTTCCGGTTGTGAACACCAGGGGCTGGTTGTATAAAAAAGTGATTAAAGTTAACTATAGTTAGTGGAAACGTCATCCAATAAGAAGCGCGTATTTGAGAGTTAAACGTTAATCACTATTATCCAGGTGATCTCGTGTTCGTATTTTAGCCAATCAGCGCTCAGAAAGGATTGTCCGAATAGAAATCCATTTTGATGTATTCAATCAATTATATCTTTCGTTATTCTTTATGAAACTAGTTGAAATTTTGTAATTATGTTTGGTTATTAGAACTATAGCTCTGACAAAAATATGGAATCGAAATAAAGTATATTACAGGAGATGTTCAGTTGTTTTAATCATAAAATGGATTTCTATTTGACAACTAGTGCCAGTACTTTTCCGCGTATCAAGATCACCTGGTTTAACTACAAAATAGTGATTAAACAAGTGATTAAGAGTTTTATACAACCGGCCACTGTTGTTTCACAAATGTAGAATTCACAAAAACGTGAATTATGCATGAACTCGCATAGTATCTCTGTATCAAAAATGTTTCAAAACACACGTGTTTTCAAAACCGGAAGTGCGGTAAAAACTTGATTTTGGGGGTTTCGTGATTGGTCTATACAATCGGGTTTAAAAATTCTTTATGTGCATGGATCCTAATAAGCAGTGGCGAAACTACGGGTTATGCAACGGGTTTTGTTATTATTTGCATCATTCAAACCATTAGAAGATTATTGTATAGAATGACCAGTTGCCATGGCTAACTTCGCCATTGCTAACAAGCCTCGTTTTGATTACTGGAATTGAATGGTATTTTCAGCATTTTGAAATGACCCTCGTGGTAACAAACAACTCAATAACGTTACCAGGAATAAAAATGTAATCGCGTCTGTTCGTGCAAGCATTGTGTCGTTCGCACGTGTTGCGGGTGGTGAAGTGACGGGTAGACATTAGTTGGCTTGTATAACATTGCTTTAATTAGATCAAGATATGTTTGATAAATAAATACAAAGCCGCTTTATAATATAACCACTATTTGAAATACGGTGAAATAAAACTTTTAAAGGCAAAACGGGCACCGTTAAAGTATGGAAAAGTTAGAATCAAGCTCGCCTCGGAGGAGAAAAGGAAGAAGGGTTCCATTTTCGTTCGGATTCAGCTTGGGCTGCTTGTTCGTATTCGTTCTATTCATAACCGCCCTTGCGAAATTCGCTTTGGATAGCTATGAAAATGATTTGGTGTTGAAAAAGAAGAAGCGATTTATGATGGGAAAGTAAGTTTATGTTAGCAAAAAGTTGGAGTAAATAATTATCAAGTTCATTATTATATATAAAGCCCCGTTCAATCGAGAGCTAATCATGAGAGTTGACGCAGTCACGCATTGTTACAATGGGACATTTCAAGCTCTAGATTAACAAAATAAAGGTTCGATGAGTGTTCCAACTGTGCTTTCAGTAACTTAAATAGAATACATGATAGTGTTGGAAAAACATTAAGAACAGCCAACTAAGATCGAGTGACTGCCTATATACTCTCTCATCCTCGTTCAAGGCATATTATATATAAAGCCGCACAACCAGAGGACTGATATTAGAATTGACGCGAATTGCAACTCCTGGCCGCTGGTTGAATGAAAATGTATCGGTTATAAACTTTACTGCAGTTAGTGTGAAAGTTGACCAATCAAATTGGTAAGTCGTGTATTCGGAGTTAACTACTATTTAGAAGAAAAAATAAAGAAAAAAAATATTAAAAATTTAGATTACGTTCACACACGCTGGAACAAAATAATGACGCCAGGTTTTACGTCTTATGTTCACACTAAGCCGTCAGAGTTTCCGCGATACGTGGTTTCGCAAAGTGAGCTCAAATAGTTCAAAACATTTTGTAAAATAATAAAAAAACAAGAGCAAGATACCGCTGTTCACACGAAGTGGCCAAGCGCTCCGTTAGTTTCATCTCGCTCCGTTTACAAACCGTGCTCAAATTGTTACGGCAAAAGTAATGTTTTCAAACAATTTCGCTCCGGCGTAGTGTGACTACATCTTAACTACAAAATAGTGGTTAAGAATAGATCAGATTTTTATACAACCGGTCCCTGGCGTTTTGATCTGGTTTGCTGTCAATATATGCTATGATTGAGCCACTAAACTCTGTATAGCTCAGTTGGTTAGAGCGCTGCACCGGAATCGCAAGGCCGCGCATCAATGTACATATAAAAAGCACCATAGTGATTTGTAAATTTCGTTCCAGAAACCCGTTTATGTCATCATATATTAGTGTTACTGCATGTGCTGTCAGAGTACTGTGATTTCTGCTATACAGGGTCAACCTCGTTCCCAGGGCTCTCGTCTCTCCCCTCGTCCTCATACGAAAGCCCTGGGAACGAGGTTGATACAGGGTGTATAAAAAAAAACTGAACAGATTTGAAATTGCTCTCAATTTCGCAAAACAGCTATTAGTATCCAGTGTTTGATATATATATATAGTTTCTTTGGGTACTTATAATGTAGAATAAACTCAAAATACGATTAAAGCTTTTAAATTTCGTGCGCAAGCCATTTTTAGTTTGTTGGAAAAAACACCCCCCCTGGTTTACAAAATTTGAGTTCGAGATTTTTTTTTCATTATTCTACATTATAAGTACCCAAAGAATATATATATATATATATATATATATATATATATATATATATATATATATATATATATATATATATATATATATATATATATATATATATATATATATATATATATATATATATATATATATATATATATATATCGATAGAAATAGCTGTTTTGCGAAATTGAGAGCAATTTCAAATCTGTTCAGTTTTTTTTATACATTATGTATTGTGATTTCTGTTATATGATGTGAAAAATTATAGTCAGTCAAAATAGCCACATTTTATTATTAGTTATAATGATAGTATAAGTCACACGACCATAACAGCTATGCTGTAGTATTATCGTTTTTAAATAAATTATTTTCGTTTTTCATATTTTCAGCATGGCATCGGCGTCGTCAGCCACGCGTCACGAATACGATCACGCCGCAGTCGCTACAGACCACGCAGAATGCTCGAAGATTGGTCGAAATATTTTGCATCACGGTGGCTCTGCTGTCGACTCTGCTATAGCCTCGATGTTGTGTCTGGGTGTGGTCCACCCCCACTCCACTGGGATAGGAGGGGGAGGGTTCATGCTCGTCTATCATAGATTCACGAAATTCTCAGAAATGATTGATTTCAGAGAAAACGCTCCGTTACTGGCAACCAAGGATATGTTTCATGGTGATCTGACCAAAGCGATTATGGGTAAGTTCCATGTTGTTTTTGTTAAACACTGTATAGATATGAGCCAAAAATTTAGTTTAGTTTAATTTACTTTATAATCCCCTTGTTAAACGAGAATGAGAGTTAAGAAGCGAGAGTTTGCCAAAAAAAGCCAGAAAGGTAGTCAAATTTAACGAGATGCAGTTAGTGCGAAAGTTAAACAATCAAAATCGAGTATTTTAGAGTTACATGCAGTAACTACTTTTAACAACAAAATTACTAGTAGTTAAGAGTTTTATTAGCGGCCCCTGGCCAAACGAGGATGAGAGTTTTCTCAACTCTCATGCCCCAGTCAAACGAGAACAAGAGTTGCATGAGAGTTGAGAAGCGAGAGTTTGCATGAGAGTTTTCTAAACTCTCGTGCCCCGGTCAAACGAGAACAACAGTTGCGTGAGAGTTGATGAGAGTTGAAAAGCGAGAGTTTGCATGAGAGTTTCATCAACTCTCATGCCCCGGTCAAACGAGAACAAGAGTTGCATGAGAATTGAGAAGGGAGAGTTTGCATGAGAGTTTTCTCAACTCTCATGCCCCAGTCAAACGAGAACAAGAGTTGCATGAGAATTGAGAAGCGAGAGTTTGCTTGAGAGTTTTTTTCAACTCTCATACCCCGGTCAAACGAGAACAAGAGTTGCACGAGAGTTGAGAAGCAAGAGTTTGCATGAGAGTTTTCTCAACTCTCATGCCCCGATCAAACGAGAACAAGAGTTGCATGAGAATTGAGAAGCGAGAGTTTGCTTGAGAGTTTTTTCAACTCTCATGCCCCGGTCAAACGAGAACAAGAGTTGCACGAGAGTTGAGAAGCAAGAGTTTGCATGAGAGTTTTCTCAACTCTCATGCCCCGGTCAAACGAGAACAACAGTTGCATGAGAGTTGAGAAGCGAGAGTTTGCATGAGAGTTTTCTCAACACTCGTGCCTCGGTCAAACGATAACAAGAGTTGCATGAGAGTTGAGAAGTGAGAGTTTGCTTGAGAGTTTTCTCAACTGTCATGCCCCGGTCAAACGAGAACAAGAGTTGCATGAGAGTTGAGAAGCGAGAGTTTGCATAAGAGTTGAGAAGCGAGAGTTTGCATTAGAGTTTTCTCAACTCTCATGCCCCGGTCAAACGAGAACAAGAGTTGCATGAGAGTTGAGAAGCGAGAGTTTGAACATGAGAGTTTTCTCAACTCTCATGCCCCGGTCAAACGAGAACAAGAGTTGCATGAGAGTTGAGAAGCGAGAGTTTGAACATGAGAGTTTTCTCAACTCTCATGCCCCGGTCAAACGAGAACAAGAGTTGCATGAGAGTTGAGAAGCGAGAGTTTGAACATGAGAGTTTTCTCAACTCTCATGCCCCGGTCAAACGAGAACAAGAGTTGCATGAGAGTTGAGAAGCGAGAGTTTGAACATGAGAGTTTTCTCAACTCTCATGCCCCGGTCAAACGAGAACAAGAGTTGCATGAGAGTTGAGAAGCGAGAGTTTGAACATGAGAGTTTTCTCAACTCTCATGCCCCGGTCAAACGAGAACAAGAGTTGCATGAGAGTTGAGAAGCGAGAGTTTGAACATGAGAGTTTTCTCAACTCTCATGCCCCGGTCAAACGAGAACAAGAGTTGCATGAGAGTTGAGAAGCGAGAGTTTGAACATGAGAGTTTTCTCAACTCTCATGCCCCGGTCAAACGAGAACAAGAGTTGCATGAGAGTTGAGAAGCGAGAGTTTGAACATGAGAGTTTTCTCAACTCTCATGCCCCGGTCAAACGAGAACAAGAGTTGCATGAGAGTTGAGAAGCGAGAGTTTGAACATGAGAGTTTTCTCAACTCTCATGCCCCGGTCAAACGAGAACAAGAGTTGCATGAGAGTTGAGAAGCGAGAGTTTGAACATGAGAGTTTTCTCAACTCTCATGCCCCGGTCAGACGAGAACAAGAGTTGCATGAGAGTTGATAAGAGTTGACTGGATATTACCGCGCACGTAGCGAAATCTCTTATCAATTTTCATTAAAATTTGAACCAGTTCAAAACTGATGAGAGTCGACAAAAGTCTCTCATCACAAGTGAAATGGCACACTTTACCAAAAGTTTGTACACTCCCTTTATCAGGTGGTCTCGCCGTTGGTGTACCGGGAGAATTGAAGGGTATGCAAGCCGCGTGGGAGAAGTATGGTAAAGTACCTTGGAAGAAATTGTTTGAACCCGCCATCAGTTTAGCTGAGAAAGGTGTCAATGTGTCCAAATCTCTTGCAATCGCGCTTAAAGTTTGGGAATTTCATGTGCTGAAGGACAAAAGTTTGAAGTAAGGCAGAGGAATCTATTTCCATCTTTGTTTGAAGCTGTTTTCGTTTTCAAAGAGACGTTCTATAGGTATATTTATTCACTTGCATGGGCCGAGGTACTTCACCAGGTACCCAGTATTATCATGTGACCAAAATAAAGCAATATGGTTGGCTAATTTACTCGTGAATTATTAATGAGTTTGAGATTAATTTATCCCGTTGTAAATCTTTCAGAGAGGTGTTCACATACAATGGCCGTGTTCTCGAAGCTGGCGAAACAATGAAGAGGCCAACTTATGCTCGAACGTTGAGAATCATTTCGAATGCAGGGAATGCCGACCCAGTCTACGGAGGCGTGCTCGGCCAGCAGATGGTCAAGGATATTAACACGCACGGAGGGCAATTCATGATCGATGACTTTAAGAACTATAAAGTACGATTTCGAGACACGATTTCAGAATCTTTCGGAAAGGGAAAGTTGTTGACCACACCTCCTCCTACGAGTGGGCCTGTGCTGTCACTGGTGTTGAATATTCTAAAAGGTAGCCAGGCATTTCAGAATTATTCTGAGTATAGGTGGCTGTGTTAATAAAGTAGGCGGCTGTGTGGGGCAGTCTAGGGAGTCTTAAAGTCATCCAAATTGACATAAGTGTATATTGATTAGATAACAACACAACTAAGCTCTGTAACCAAATTATAATGTATCACTACTTTCGTTCTTCAACAAGATGACTTTAATGGTAGATAACTAAAATCAGTTTTACGAAATAGTACGTCGCGTTTTCGAAAATAACCAGGCTATAAAGTAGAGCTGGTTGAGGAAAAATAACTTTGTTTGAAAGCTTAGAGTGGAGGAAGGAGACTAGCAGAATGGGCAACTTGCATGTTAGACTAAATTTTAATCTAAGTAAAGAGAAGGGAATCAAACACAACAGTTAAAAAGAACACAATGAAATTAGTAAAATTGGAAAATTTGGTTGCGAAATGTTGTAAAATACAGAAAATATAGCCTTGCGAAGTTTGCATATTTTCAGTATATTTGTATTACGTGCGGAAATTGTTACCATTTTCGGCTCAAAAATGGTAACAATTTCCGCACGTAATACAAACATACTGAAAATATGCAAACTTCGCAAGGTTATATTTTCGGTATTTTACAACATTTCGTAACCAAATTTTGCAATTTTACTGATTTTAATAAGTTCTTTACGGGAATTTACTTTTTTTTGCCTTTATCAAAAATTAGTCTAACATGCAAGTTGTCTATTGATATTTCAAGTACTAAACAAAGTAACCGGCGAATTTGTGGAAGTTGACCACCATCTTTTGACTGGCGAAGTTGACTACCATCTTTTGCTCATTGTAGGTTATCATTTCACGAATCGTGACTTTGAAGATAACACTGCATTAACATTCCATAGAATCATCGAAGCATTTCAAATGGGTTATGCACATCGTTACAAACTGGGCGACCCAGATTATGAGAAATCTGTCAAAGAAGTAAGTTGAATGTACTTTATAAGAAACATGATCAAAACACATCTACATGTATCTTTTTCAACTATCGTAGGTCGCGAAACAGATGCTCGATCAGAAATTCGCGGATAAATTGCGCACCAAAATATCCGACAAAAAGACGCAATCTCCAATGTATTATGACGGCGCAGGCTATGATGTCCCAGTGAAGAATGGAACGACACATCTTGTGGTGGTTGCCGAGAATGGTGACACCGTCTCTGTCACTAGTACTGTGAATGGTTTGTAAGTATTGTTTATTATATCTATGCTCTGCATAGCCTATGATTACTGGCAATGACACTTTGCGAAATATTGGGGGATCTTAATTCTTTAACCTTTGTTGCCTTAAATTTCATGCAATATATAGCTTTATTTATAGCCTACCGATGCTGATCTCTTTTCAAAAAGGAAAGGCTTTTTGAAATCACCTCCTCCCACCCCTCCGCCCACCCCTCCGCCCTCGCCCCCTCCCCGTCTCCCCGTAGTGTCCGCCACTATACAACACGTATGACAAAAGATAAGATTTTTAAAGTTTTTTTCTTCCTTACACCAAAATGCCAAATGCATGCCAAAAACATTTACGTTATAGTATCGTTTTGTTTTGTAGTCTTGGGGCAAAGTTTCGTTCTCCAATCCTTGGCCTTATCTACAACAATGAAATGGATGACTTCAGTTCCCCAGGAATGGTGAATGAGTTTGGTTTAAAACCTGCGCCCGTGAACTTCATTCAACCTGGCAAGCGGCCGCAATCCTCTAGTGCTCCAGTCATCATCATTGATGAGAAAGGTGACGTTGATGTCGTACTGGGGGCTTCTGGGGGAACTGTTATCACGACTGCGGTTGCACAGGTACGCGGTTTCACGTTTTGCTAAAACGATCAGGACTTCCAGGTATATACTTCGTGTGTCCCCTATTATGGTGTATCAAGGCTAATCCCTGACCCCAACCCCGCTTCTAACCCCTCCCATAACTTCCCTCCCCCGCCTGACATGGACATTACTAACCTCCCCTCCCCCACCTGATATGGACATTATTTATATAGAGTAAAATGAGCTCCAATTATTACGGTGCAAACCTACCGGCTTCCAAAACAAGCCGTCGGTCGTCGTCTGGTGAAAGTTGTTATCACCTTGTTACAAGCTTTTTGACGGTAACGGGCTTGCTGTAAGTTGTTCCAACAAGACTAATGCATGCTGTTCGTAACAAGTTTTCTGTCAACTTGTTAACAACTTGTTATGTGCAGACAATATCAGCCGGACTTGTTGGAACAACTTGTTGCGAGTCTGTTTGCGTCATCAACCTTGTAACAAGATGATAACAACTTATTCCAGACTTGTCAAAACAACTGCAAACAAACAGTACGAGCACATCTTGTCGACGAACGAATATCGTAACAGAAGTCGTCATATGATTATGAATTTATCTATTATATGTTATTTATTTACTATTGTTTTCATTTATTACCTATATTTAGACTTTGGTGAATTATCTTTGGTTCAAGAAGGACATTCATGACGCTATATCAATGCCAAGATTACATCATCAGCTGTATCCTGAATTTCTCTTCGCTGAAACACAGTTCCCGATTACAATATTGCACGAACTGGAGAATTATGGACATAAGGTGCGTTTGGACCTTGTAGTGAGGATCTTACTAGAAATTTTGTGGGTGCAAATTTAAGGTTGCCAGCATTTTTTTTGTTTACTCGGAAGTGATAAAAAAATGCTTACATAAGTTTAAGAATGCTTCGGATTGATAGGGAACAATGCAACCATGCAGGGCCGCCGAGAGCTTGGTGGGGGCCCGGGGCAAAATTTTTTTTAAGGGCCCCTATTTCAAAAATTTTTCCGGAACAATTTTTTTTCGGACAACCCCCGACTTTACCTCAATTTTTCATACCATGCCAAATTTCGTTACTTTGCCCAAAAACCGAATATCTGCCCTTTGCCCCCCTCTCGGCGGCCCTGAATGCACCTATCGTCTGTACTGCTGTTCTAAATAAACATGAACATATCTCTAAAATATTTCTGAAATATAGTATTGTTTTCCTATCCTAGATCAATATAACAGACAAAAGTCATGGTGTGGTCCAGGGGATATCCAGGATACATAAGGTGAAGAGTGGGGGTAAGAGGGAACATATGGACGATAAAGCTAAATTTATGGCCGAATCAGACTTTAGGAAAGGCGGTAGCCCTTCTGGGTATTAAAAGGCACTACATGCCTTTTAGGACCGCACTTGCTGATAAACCTGATCTGGGAACACGTATTTTTATGCCCGTTACCACGTGCGCAATTCTTCACAAATATAATTTCAATGCTTGGTTACCTTTGTTCTATTCTGAGGGTCTCCCAGGGGTGTTTGTGTTCCCCAGAAAGTTATAATTGCAAAATAATCCTGGTTCCCTAATAAACTCCTGGGAGACCCTCGATTCTCACTGGCCTTACATTATCAAAACAGTCATGGTAACTAGGCATGTCAATAATTGTCTGAAAATGTTGATTGGTGGCAACAAGCATTATTGATTAATAAATTAATTAATGTTTAAAAACCTCCAAAAGAAAAACAACCTAAGGTAAACATACTGACAAAACTCAAGGGCCATGTACAATGCAATATTCAATCAATCAATTGTGACAGCGCGAGAATTGACCATCCGGTATACAGTAAATATTCTTAATCTATCTTAGTAAAAAACTGCTAAACGTTTATAAAATAATTTTTTTAATACAATTACATAACCTTATCATTTATATATTTCGTGTAAAACTGTTGCTATTAGTTTAAAGATATAACCTTAAAGTAATTTCTACAGGTGACACTGCTCTCATTATAATAAACTGAATTCATAACGTTAAGGTAAAGGTAGTAATATAGTTCAATTAGATTAACATTTGATAAAATAAAATATTTCTGTTTAAATATAGTATGTGTTCTACAAATGATTTTGCTATTAAGTTAAACAAGCCCCGAAAGACCGAATGTACTTTTGTAGACTATACAGTAATCTAGGGTGTATAAAAAAGAGCAAGACTTTACTTTAGAAATCAAGCTATGCATTCAAATTCCAACATTAGCTTAATTTCTAAAGGTCTCGTTTTTTTACACACCCTATACCAGTACTATGTTATATTTTTATCCGAGTTTATGTTAATTTGTGCACTGTCATGGTAATTGAACTCATTCTATTTCCGTATTATGAAGTAGTTGTCCAATAGGGATAGATCAGATCATCAGACCATCATATCTTGATGTTCGGTAATAGTAAAAGTCATGCACGAAAATATTTTTTTATAATTTCATAAAATTAAGATTGGTGTCGTAAATAAAAATCCATATTTCTCCCTGTAGCCAAATGTCCCTCGTAGCCTTCAATCCATAACCGTCCCTTCATAAACACTTGATACAACGTGTTCTCGTTCGTCCACGCTCGCACCACGAAATGACAAATCGAAACCAACCCACTAGGATCGTGTAGTGTGTGAAATTGTAGGCTGTTGTGTGGTAACGGCATTCCGTTTTGTTGCGACAACGAAGGCGACTCTACGAGTAATGTTGGACAGGAGTGAGGAAAATCTTCGCCCAATGTTATACTTAAAGTATAATTTCTGTTGTTGTTACTTGTCAACTGCACTTGCACTTTCGTTCTGCCGTGTACGTTTGACCATCGTACTCGACCAGGGAAGTATTTCGCCAGGATTTCTTTCTCATGTTGAAGGCGTCGCAACTGGTAGTTCGACCACGACATTTTGTTCGGCGGTTGTAGTCTATTTCGTCTCTGTGGACTTGAGTTTTTTTTACTTTTATTTTGGCACTCGACGGCTCTCGTACGACCGTCCAGTGATGTTTAATTATGCAAATTTACTTGGGGGTTTACCGATTTAAGTGTCAGCTAAGTCGGGCGTGCAGGCCGTCTGATGCAAAATACATCCTGTGCAGAGTACGAGTGCTCGCAGTGATTGGACAGGCCCTCGTGTTGGGCACGGATGTGGCAACGTGCGATGTGAATTTCAGCTTGGGCATTGCACTTGCGTTTAAACGAAAAAATGAAAAGGAAATGAATTAAAAAGCACTTGCAAGAAAATGTGATGTAATATAAACTGCAATTCTGTTGTGAGAGTCGATGAGAGTCGGCAGTCAAACACGAGCGAGGTTACAACTCTTATGACATCAACCTGTCAGGCTTGTTTCAAACGTCGCGCTTCTCATGTGCCGAACGCATTGAAAACGATAGATAATCAGCTGAAATGCCTCATTATCTATTGTTTCCAGTGCGTTCGGTACATGAGAAGCGCGACGTTTGAAACAGGACTCGTTTTCATTGACCAGTTCACGCCAGAGCAGACGAATTCGGAATCGTACGTAAATCATCCTGTTTCAATTTGTTCACAGGGATTCTCGTCCGGTTAGCGTCCCGTTCCAACGCAATTAAGAGATAAAAAACGTTAAATAATCTTTAATTAGCTACTTTAAATTCGAGGTTAAATCAATAATCTTCGCTTGAAATCACCAATTTCATTTTCGTATATCTTTGTAAACCTAATATACACAAAATCTAAATACATACTATTTGTTTATTTTCACGTGTTAAAATGAAATGTTACTAAATTTTCACAAGCTACATTAAACCACAGTAAGGTTGAACATTGATTGCAACATATACATAAAATGTAGCAAAAATAACAATGATATTATACTTTCATTGAGCGAATTCCGCGAACTGTATTCATTTTCCTAGAAGAGGAAAGACTGACCTCTTGACCTCCTTGGTAACCAAGCTGACAGTTCTGGTTACCAGGCCCCAGACGCACTGTGGCATCAGTGTGTTCATATATGAGAAACCATTGCATTGTTTAGTTGATATTTATATATACAAGGAATATCTTAACACATAAAATTGTGATAATATGACAAAATAAAACGAAAACTGTTAAACTGGTTTATACTCTATCAAAGTCTCTTTGTTCACAGTATGAATTTAAAGATTTGTAAGAAATGTTTGAGCACAGTTAGTCTATTAACTGTGGTTTGAGGGAACTAATATAGTGTTTAACACTTGGTTTCCTCAAACATTTCTTACAAATCCTTCAAAACTTAGAATGTTCCTGTGCAAAATTTCTACTTCGATCACATAAACTTTGATAGTGTAAATCAGCCTTTAAAGGGGGACATTTTGTGGGCAAACATGCATTTATACTCCTTAACGGCACTGAGTTGGTGTCGTCAAAAGCGAATCTGGTATCGTATAACTGGGGAGGTGGGACCTGATATTATATTCATGGTATGAATATTCAATATTTTCAAGTGGTAATGTATTATCCTGTCATTATATATATATCGCAATTATTTGTTGTTTGACGTAAGGGATTGCGTGCAGATACAAAAAGTGCCGTATGTGTTTTCGGCAACACGTTACTCTCATTTGTATGTGTGAATGGAGCAGAATGGACAATTGGGAATTTTCTAGACTAATAGAGAGGGGAAAGTTATGCTGAACGGTTATTCCATACTCAATGTAAGTTTACGTAAAAATGTTTTGTATTGTTGTAAGGAAAAGGGAACTTTTGGTGGAATTGATGGCGCAATAGTTCAACCCCAGGCACTTTTAAACCCCGAGGTTAACGAGGAAGGTAGATTGATAACGGTGATCGAAACGAGCGAAAACTCTCGTCAATTCTCGTCAAACTACGATTTCGATTTAACCCATTAAAGCACTACGATTTAACCAATTAAAGCTGCAATGCGCCTTTTACTCTGTCTAACGACGGACAATTTTACTTGCGCATTGTGTAAAGTCTTAAGAGGAGCGGAATATTTTGTATATGTTACGTAACACGCGCTCAGAACTAATGAACATATTTTTCCACTTATGACTATATTCCAAGTTTTAAATTTTTGATACGTTTTCAACCGGCAAACAAACTTAAAAAGTATGTTTAGTGCTTTATTTGTAAAATAATGCTAAAATGAAGAGATTTTATAGATGGTACGCCAAAGAGAAATTTATGTCTGAAGTTCAGTAAAGTTTTGCTTATATATTCATGCTGTATAAATATGGCGTCAATTTTACAGTATATCAATGACAATGATAATTGTATTTAAATTGACAATATTTTTTTGTTTTGCAACAACCAGATACATTTATAAAGGTTGTTAACTATGTAAACTACAAAATAAAGCTAAAACAAAGTAATTTTGAGAGGAACGCCAAAAAGATTTTAGGTTCTGAACACTTTTCATCGCGAATACGCGACAATGTCATTGAAAACAATTCCTAGCTCTTTAGTCTTCATAAACTATCTGCCAATTATGTGTCTTGTTAATTCCCATGCGCCCCAATGTGCCCTATACTCTATGATTTTACTCTGTCTAACGCCCGACAATTTTACTCATCAACGGAGATTCTTGCACTAATGCATTAAAATGGCGTTCATAAAAACGTGAATATAAGAAAAAATACAAGAACATTCTCATTTGATTTTAATTGTTCTTGGATATTCTAATTCTAATTTCTCTTCTCTTGCAGTTTAAAGTTTGTACTTCTCCCTCAACGACAACATGTTCCGCCTTGTGACAAGTGTATCCTTACTCATAACTTCTCAAATTTATTTTGCGTTTGGTTTTCACAATGTCACTGTTTTCAACAACCGAAATTGTTTTAATGTACGTGTTCGAAACAAACATGATATTTCTTTTTCTAAAGGCAATAGCCCCCCTTGGTTAATTGGTTGCGGCAAAGCGAACATATTAAACGCCACATTACAACACAAAGAAAATCCCCTCAATATAACATTGGGTCATATCCGTCCTGTTCTTGACGGCACTTCAGAGTTACGCCCTGCTATTCTTCTAGGCAACAGTCCCTTGTTCAACGATTTAAATGCAAGCGACATAGAAATGATTCTTGCAACGAAAAGCCATTCTGAAAAAATGGCGAAATGGAAAAAGCAATGCACTGCCAAGAAGATACAAATAATGTCGGTTAATCTTAACTGTACTAAAGAATACGCATATTCCATGCATCCCAGATTTAAAAGCTTATTGAATATAATTTTCTTGGTCTTAATCGCCTTGGTTTTGGGATCTTATTACTCAATTTCCCACAATAAATTTGGTCTTAAATCATTAGTTTGTCCAGTCCTGTTTAGTTTGTTCGGTATTGCTTTAAGTTTCGAAATCTTTTTGCTAAGTTTGGCTGTTCTGTTTGGAGTTTATATATCTTACAAAGCATTAACTAGGCATTTTTCGCCATTTATTAACCGTTTATTCGGTACCATACAGGGAATTATGCATGGTGGAATTTTGTGCGGAAAAATTAAGATTCTATCTTTCTGCCTTTTCGTCGGACTTGTAAACTTTACAATCTTTCAAATGACTTCAAAATTATCGGTTGAAGTTTTTGTTTTCGCTTATATTAACAATATTGTCGTGTTGTCGGCATACTCTTTATTACTAAACAAGCGTTCTAATCTTGAAAAATCTTCTGGAAACAATAACGATGAATCAAGCCTCACTTTTAGGAATTCTAATACGATAGAAAGTTTACAAATTCAAAAAGACTTGAAAACCTTTGACGAAGGGTTACGCAAACGGAACGAATCTGTTTCGATTGTCGGTATAAGTTGTCGTTTTGCGAAAGGCGTGAATTCTAAAGATGCGTTTTGGGATTTGCTTGTCGGAGGTGGTTGCGTCATCGGTTCGTACCCAGAGAACAGACTCGAAGCTTTGGCGTTGAAACGTTTTTATAACCCCGCGCGGCAAGTCCCAGGAAAACACTATACCCTAAAAGGCGCATTTTTGGACGAAATCGCCGGATTCGACGCACAGTTTTTCGGCATTTCTCCGGCAGAATGTCGCGCGATGGACCCCCAGCAGAGACTGTTGCTTCAAAGCGTTTACGAAGCGATAGAAGACGCGGGCTCACGGCTCGAGGACTTACAAAAATGTCGAACCGGAGTTTATGTAGGACTTATGAACTTAGACTACGGGCGGCTACTTCTGGATGACGGAAACGTGCAGAATATTGATGAGTTTGCGTCAACTGGGATCACTGCATCAACGGCAGCCAATCGGATTTCATTCTCGCTGAATTTAAACGGTCCAAGTTTAACGGTCGATACGGCATGCTCGTCTTCGTTGAGTGCTCTAAATATAGCAGTGACGCATTTAAAAGCACGCGAATGTGATGTGGCGATCGTCTGCGCGCCGAATTTAATTCTAGCGCGATATTTTCACACGGCGTGTTGTCGAACTGGACTGCTCGCCGAGGACGGACGATGCAAAAGTTTCGACGCGAAGGGAGACGGTTATGGCCGCGGGGAAGGAATCGCTGTGGTGGTTTTAAAGCCAACGCATACAGCTCTACTAGACAACGACAAGCCTTACGCTCAGATTCTTGCATGCGGATTGAATAACGATGGTCAGACAGCCATCCCAATGACCGCACCCAGCGACAAAATGCAAGCCGAGTTAGCAAGGAGAGTCTTAAAAGAATCCGGACTTCGTAAAACTGATATTCAGTATGTGGAAACACACGGGACGGGGACGGCGATCGGGGATGTCGTCGAGATGCGATCCGTTTCCGAAGTCTACGCGAACACCTCTTCGCGTGTACTTCGTATAGGTTCGGTGAAATCGAATATTAATCACACAGAATCGGCCGCTGGGCTGGCCGGGCTTATTAAAGTGTGTCTTATGATAAAAAATGGTTATTTTGTCCCCACGGTGAATATCCAAGAGCAAAAACCGCAGTTGAAAATCGCCGAAAGAAAGATGATTGTTCAAACCAAACTTGAGCCTTGGTCGGCGATCGACGATAAGCCAAAGACAGCGGCTGTCTGTTCCTATGGTTACGGTGGCGCAAATGCCCACGTCATCGTTCAAGAGGTCCAATCAACGCAAAGTACGGAAAGTTGCCCGCGAAGACGAGAGGCGTGGGTGTTGACGTTGTCTGCCCGTTCTCGCGAGGCTTTGAGAATAATGGCTGAACGGTTTTCAGACTGGCTAGAGCAAAAACCGGACGATGACTGTATTTTGAAAGAGGATATATGTTATACCCTTAACAACAGACGAAGTGTGCTCTCTCATAGACTTGCTCTGAGTTTCAGCTCATTCAAACAGGCAGCGAACTTACTAAAACTCTTCTCTAAGGACAGTCCTGGTTGGCAGAAATTTATTGCCGTGAACGACAATCCTACATCGGTTAAGAAACTGGCTTTTATATACGGCGGGCAAGGAAACTGTTGGTATGCTATGGCGTCGAAGTTGATGAAAAATGAGAAAAGGTTTCAAGAAAGTATCCAGCAGATTGATGAGATTTTGGCAAAACTTCAAATTCCTTGGCGTCTCATGGAAACGTTGGGAAAAAGTGAGTTGGCGAGTTCCCAAATAGAAGGAAATCCCATCGCTCAGATGGCCCTGTTTGGCGTGCATTATGGTATGACTCAGCTACTCAAATCCTGGGGTATAACTCCCTCAGCGGTTGTCGGTCATAGTTTGGGGGAAATATCCGCAGCATGTGCAGCCCACGTGATCAGTTTAGAAGAAGCAGTCCAGTTGATTGTACTTCGTGCAGGACTCCAAGAGAACTGTTCTACCACAGGGCGGATGATGGCCGTTGGGATGTCTCCAGAGACTGCCAAAGAGGTGATTAGGAGTCTTTGCCTGGTAACTAGTGTTAGCGTGGCTGCGGTGAACAGTCCAGTTAACGTGGTTTTGTCTGGAGATCAGCAAGCCATGCACGTCGTTGAAGATTATCTACAGAGGAATCATGGCGAGGTGTTTTGCAAGAGGCTGGGAACCACCCGGGCTTTCCACAGTCAGGACATGGATTCCATCAAAGAAGAGTTCATGGAAGAAATTGATCGCTTGGAACTTTGTCCAGGTATGAAATAACCTTGCAGTCAATCAACCAATCCTGAAACAATAGCCGAATTCACATTAGAGACGGGACTCACTCGTTTCAGACAATTAGACTGGAAACTCATAAATCCAGCAACAGACTAGTTTTCCGTCTCAATTTTTTCGTCTAACTTTCCCTTCCAAACAGACGGGAAAGTTAAACGGGAATCCCATCCGTCTAGACGAGAAACTTATCTTGAATTTCCATTCAGACGATGTTTGAATTTTTTTAAACCAGGTCGAGTAAGGATACCATTCTACTCCACAGTTGCTGGAACCCAGATCTCTTACCTTTCTCCCGGTCATTGGTGGAAGAATATACGTGAGCCCGTGTTATTCAGTTCAGCTGTTCACAACATGATATCAGATGGGTATAAAATGTTTGTTGAAATAAACGCTGCACCCCAGTTTCCTCGATATATGCAGGTAATTAAAATATCATGTTCATTAACAGTAAAATAATTTCTTGACAAGCCCTGACGGGGATGTGAATATGTATTCTTTATAACAATTACATTGACAATAGACCTTTCCCCTTATAACCAAAATTTTGATCTAGGCAAGTCTAGACAAATATTTCATCACAGCTTGAAAGAGCATCACAAAATTAGTAATATTCCAAAGTTTCGTTGCGAAATGTTGTAAAATGAGGAAAATACATCCTTGCGAAGTTTGCAATTTTCAGTCATTTTGCATTACAAACGGGAAATTGCAGCCCCAACACCCGAATCGTATGTCAATTTCCCGTTTGTAATACAAAATGACTGAAAAGCGGAAAACTTCGCAAGGCTATATTATCCGCATTTTACAAGATTTTGCAACAAAACTTTGGAATATTACTAATTTTGTAATGCTCTTTCAAGCTGTGATGAAATTTTTGTCTAGATCGAAATTTTAGTTATAAGGGGAAAGGTCCATTACAAAGCAAGAACAACAACAGTAACAGTAACAACAGCAACATCAATGACAACGACAGCAACAACAACAACAACAACAACAACAACAACAACAACAACAACAACAACAACAACAACAACAACGACGACGACGACGACGACAACAACAACAACAACAACAACAACAATCTTTTTCTTCATTACAGGAAATTTCTGCTCAGTTTCAATCAGAAAGGACTACAGAACAACAAACAGAAGTCCTTATCGAAACGTTACCCAAAAGATCAGAAACAGACCGTTATTTATCGTTTCTCCGTAACTGTCCTGCAACACTTTATACACAAGGCTTTCCGATCGCATGGGACAAAATTCAGGGGTGTGGAAATAGGACGTTTATCCGTTGTCCGAGCTACCCATGGCAAGAACGAAAGTACTGGTATCGAGAATGTGAACCAGCCGAGCATGTTGGACCGTTGGCAAGTAACACTGATTTACCTGCAGTCCTGAATACACCCGAAAAGTTGAATATCGGGAGTACCACCTTAGGCTTAACCCATCCACTGTTAGGAAAGGTCGTTGCGACAAATGCATACTCGGGACTGCACGCCTGGTCTTCGGAAATCGACGTGTTTACCCTTTCATACTTGAAAGACCACAAATTTCAAAGTTCGGAAGACGCCGTAATTCCAGGAGCTATGTACGTCGAAATGGGCTTGGCACTAGCATTGCACATGTTCCCGGATGTGCTGCCGCGGTTACATGACGTCACGTTCGACAATCTCCTTACCCTCTCCACCAATGAGATTGCCCGATTCTGTATTCGGTTAGATACGACAGGAAGGCCTGGTGCGAGACATGGTTATGACATAACGACCGTGGAAGGGAATGGGAACGAGATTTTGGTTTCCAAAGGGATGGTGTCGTTTGATGAAACACTTCACCACTGCAAGAAAGGTAAGATATTTTGGTGAATGAATATCATAAGTTCGTTCTTGATTCGAAAACTTCCATAGGTCCAAGGAATGTGGTCGCATTCCTAAATGTTTTGATACGAAAACAAGACACGTTTTTCAGGCGAGAGGAATTAATATTAGCATCCGTGGTTATCGTAATCGCACAGCCAGAAGAGGGAAGACCACAGGCCCCATATCAAGTGTATGGTAGCGTAATTTTTTTACTTGTCTTCGACACTGGGTTCATTTCAAATCCGACGCAGTTGTTTTCAAACGGCATCTCATTTGGTAGTTTGTAATGTATTTGCTTGAATTTCTTTGTTTTTAGTGACGTGTGGAGCATCAAATTCCGCCAAAATCGCCAACATAAAATCACGTCTTTTCAAAGAACCCCTAGACGTTTTCAATGCAGAAAGAGTGAAAAGACGTTTCGCCTACGGTCCTCAGTTTTCACTGATCACGGAAAGCTGGTGTTCAGAGACTGAAGCGCTGTGTTCTGTCGTTCTGACCGAGGAGATCTGTTCATCTCTAGCTTCGTATGTTGTCCATCCCGCCATCATCGACGCTTGTTTCCAAAGTCTCTTCTTACTCAAGAATTCCGTGGAGAAACCTGTACCCTACGGTGCTGCTGACATCAGGATGCATCACAGGAATTTCACTGAAGTGATGTATTGTCACGTGATCAGTCACGTGGACAATCACTTGAACAGTCACATGCACAATCACGTGGACAGTCACGTGGACAATCATGTGAACGGTCTCGTGGATAATCTCACGAAAGAACACGCGACAAACCCTGACTCCACCCAAGAGCACATATGTAACATAGTGCTTATGGATTGTCATGGAAACGTGGTGCTTCTTATCAAGGAATTCAAAATGGTGGATTTATCAAATTTACAGCCAACGTCAACCTTAGACGATGTTGCTTACCAGATTCAATGGCAACACGAGACAGCCGAGACGGGAGTAAGCATTGAAAACAAAGTATGGCTTATTATTCCGGATCATTGTGGATTCTCAGAGATGTTTACCACCGTTCTTCCAAAGGAGGACCCAACATTTGTATTTGAATTTCCCGAAAAGTCGTCCTTATTCGAGAACACATTCTTGGAAATGTTTGAAAAAGCAATGGAGGTGTTTGAAGCTGGAGGCTACAAGAAAGTTTGTATCGTTAGTTTCCTACCGGTTGACAACCATTCCTTGCTTCCAGATTGGAGGAACTTTCAGCAAGCTCATTACCAAGCATTTGAGAGTTCTTTATTAATGCTTCAACGTGTTTTAGTTTCAGAACATTCTGAAAGCATTCAATTTGTCTTGGTTACATGCGCATCAATTGCTCTTGGCATAAACCACGATGATAACCCTGCTTTTCCTTGGTCGAGTAGCCTGCTTGGTTTCCGACGAACACTTGCCGAGGAACTTACTTCGCCCAAGACAACCATCATTGATTTGCCAAAAAATCCAAGTGGCGCTGATTTTCATCTAATGCTGAACGACCTCCAGGGACCGAAAATTGCTGAAGAAATTGTGTATCGTGACGGATTGAGATACCTTAATCAAATTAAACGTTTGGAGAATGCTAGTATTACCTCCACAACGACTTCGGCGAATGAGGCTAGCTCGACGATAATACCAGGAACAAACCCTGGCGATCAAAGTTATGGAGATGAAATTAGTCCCAATGAAGTTTCTCTACAAGCATTCAAGTTATCCTTCGCGTCCGGTCAGGTCAGTCTTGTTGAAACGAAAAGATCAAGTCCTTTGAACAACCGCGTTGAAATGAAAGTGCTTCAAGCTTGTCCTTTTCTTAAACGAATTTGGTCAACACCTTCTGATAAAGCGGCTGTGTGCGGCCAACTGACAGAAGAGTATCAAAATTTTCCTGCTGGTGAATTAGTGCTGACTGTCTGTGATGTTTCAACGCTTGGAAACTACATAACAGTGGAAGGGAAGTCCCTGATAAAACTCGGAAGAAATCTCACTGGACAAGAAGCTGCTGCGTTAGCCATTCCAATGGCTTTGTCATTTTATATCCTTCAGGAACTCGTTTGTGACTGTGATGGAAAGAAGATACTAGTTTATGCCGAGGAAGATTTGTATGCCTGTATTTTTGCAAGTGTGGCGTCAGCTCTTGGTGCATGTGCAGTGTGTGTGGCGGGAACGACTCATCGGGACAAGTCTCAGTTTTCGGGTTTTGGGATTACGCATGTTGTCACGGAATGTGAACTGCTTTTTGGGGATGGTCAAATCAATGCTGAAATCACATGCGACCTTGCCTGCTTCCTGAATAGGCCAAGTTCAGGTTTAATTCAACACGTAGTGAAGCATCTACGAGACGAAGGCAAAGTTATCTCGATAGTTAACAACCCATTTGATGGCTACCATGTGTGCGTATGTGGAAATATAAGTTTCCTGAGCGCAGAACTGGACGAAATTACAAATAATGCAACGAGATTTGAACAGCTTCTTACAGATTGTATTGAACTGCTCTCCGACAAAGGCTATCTTGCCAAATTAAAAGAATTGCCCCGCCATTCCACTCCAATTTATGATATGGTCTCAAATTCACACGAAAAAGACGCTAATAACTTGACCAACGAATCTAGCTCTACCAACACCCTAGCACTGTCGAAAATTTCGTTCGAATGCGAGAATGCGCGAGGAGAATTCATGTTTTCAAAACCGCCATTTGACCCAAAATGTTTAAAAGAAGACAAAAGTTATTTGGTCGTTGGTGGAGTCCGCGGGTTCGGTTTCGAGCTTGTCCGTTGGCTGCTTCAAAATGGCGCGAAAACTATAATCTGTACGGCGAGGTCGGCTCCGAGCGAATCCAAGATGGCGGAAGTCACGAGGCTCGAGCAAGAGACTGGGGCGAGAATTCTTCTTCGGCAAGCGGATGTGACGTCATGGCAAGACATGTTGGTGATCGTGAGGGAACTTGAGGGTCTTCCAAGACTCGCGGGGATCGTGTTTACGGCCATGGTTCTTGAGGATCAGAGGATCAAAGACGCCGACCTCGAAACCTGCGCGCGTGTCGTGGCTACGAAAGTTCAAGGTAACGTAATTTTTGTATTTTATCTGTAGTCAAAATCTCCTTACCGACACCTCTCTGATGCAGACATCTCTCTAATATGAATACCTTTCTAGTACGGACACCTCTCTAATACACACATATCTTTAATATGAGCACCTCTCTAATACAGACATCTCTCTAATACGAATACCTCTCTAAAACGGACATCTCTCTAATACGAACACCTCTCTAAAGCGGACACCTCTCTATTACGGATACCTCTCTAATACAGACACCTCTATAATACGAATACTGCACTAATAAGGACATCTCTCTAATAAGGACATTATTATGACTCTAATTATTAAAATTTCCTTCTATTTTCAGGAAGTGTTATTCTTCATCAATTAAGCCTGAACTTTCACCTGGATTTCTTCATAATGTTTTCTTCCATCACTGGTATCATAGGCAATATCGGTCAGCTCGCGTATTCCGCAGCTAACACCTTCCTCGATTCCTTATGTGAATATCGCCGTAATAAGCTTGGGTTACCCGCGCTATCTGTGGCATGGGGTACTATGGGTGGTGCAGGGATATTGGAGAGATCAAAGGATATCGCGAGCTTGTTTCAGAGCTACGGCTTTCGTATGATGTCATGTAAGCAAGGTAGGGACATGTGATCGTCTGTCCTTGCATAGTTTGCATTTCTTCTTCTATAAGGGAATCCTTCCTGTACTTCTAGGGGGAACAGTTTAGAACTGATAGAGCTATTCAGTATGAATGAAGTTAGTTTAGTAACCAATAACGGATGACTCTTACTAGAGCTCTAGGGAAAACAGTTTAGAACTGACAGAGCAATGAATGATTCCAGCGAAACACGAAATTTTGATCTGACAAGAAGAACGAATCCATTACCATAGCTGGAAAGAGCATCGTAAAATGAGTAAATATGCAAAGTTTGGTTGGTTTTTACCGTGCGTAATACAAATATATACAAAATTTGCGAACTTCACAGGGCTATATTTTCTTCATTTTACAACAATTACCAACCAATCTTCGCAGTTTTACTCATTCTAAGACGCTCTTTCTAGCTGTGGTGTTGGATTTCGTTCTTCTCGCCCTGATCAAAATTTAGTCTGTAGCTGGAATGAGCCATTAAATGAAGTTAGTATTGTTTTGGTTTTCCCGTGTGGTATAAGTCACCACGAAAGATAATACCAAACCTCTAAGAAGAACAGTTTAGAGCTGATAGAGCTACCCTGTATATAATCATGAACTGTCTGTGTCAGTGTAGGTAGTGCCAATAATATAAACAAGCTTTCGTTGGTTGGGATGCAACTATCTGAAAAATATAAGGAGAATTTCGACGTGTCGAGCGAAGGGCATTCGTCTGGAGTTACTGGTATATACTACTATATGAAGTTAATTTTTTAATCCACTTTGTTACACAGGACTCAAGTGTCTGGAACAGTTCCTCATCCAGCATCCTGACAAATCACAGATCATTATTTGCGACATTGATTGGTCAACCTATCTCAAGAGCTCAGCATATATCCTACACAGATCACCTAGGCTTCAATATCTAAATGAGGAAACACGCATGCTTAATAAACCCAATGCCGTCGCGAATAGTATGACGTTAGAACAACTTGCTTACCTCGACCCAGGACAACGACGGAAGACCGTGGAAGACTTTATCAGGAGGTTGCTGTCCACGTGGACAGAAGCTGATTGTCACGAGGTTGATTTGAACCTGGCACTGTATAGATATGGTGTTGATTCTATTGGTGCAGCAAATATGAGCCTGCAAACACGGAATGGTATTGGAGCGATTTTTGAGGTAGAGTGGGAATACAGACAGTTCGCTAATTGACCACTTGCGCAATAGACTAAATTTTGATCTAGACAAAAATTTCATCACAGCTTGAAAGAGCATCACAAAATTAGTAATATTCCAAAGTTTCATTGCGAAATATTGTAAAATGCGGATAATATAGCCTTGCGAAGTTTGCCGTTTTTCAGTCATTTTAGATTACAAACAGGAAATTGACAGCGCAATACCCTTTGGGGCTTTGTAATCTAAAATGACTGAAAATTGCAAACTTCGCAAGGCTATATTATCCGCATTTTACAACATTTCGCAACGAAACTTTGGAATATTACTAATTTTGTGATGCTCTTTCAAGCTGTGAAATTTGTGTCTAGACTTGTTTAGATCAAAATTTAGTCTATTACGCAAATGGTCAATTATCAATGCAAGATTTTGGGTTTACTCATTTATTAAATCTAATCAGGAACAGTTGCGAAAAATGCAACTATAGCCCAGGTAGGAATCGAAACTGCGGCCCTGTGATTCCGGTGCAGTGCTCCAACCAACTGAGCTACAGAGGCCAGTTGTCGAGCTCTAACCACAAGTTCATGTATATAACTAAGGTGCCTAAGGTGGTATATCACTATCGTAATAATTAATACGTTAGAGATATTCTTTCCTAGATTAAACATTCTAACATAATGTGTCTTTCATTAATGTCTTTCTTCTGTTTTCATTCCTTTTCAGATCTATTACTTCATTCAGCCTAAAACAACTGGAATGAGAATCATCAATGATACTCTAGAACAAGTTCGTGATTTCCAGCGTGATGACCTCAACACAGTCCGTATGGAAAGCGACTCATCAAAACTGACAAAAAACTTGGATGACCAAAACTTGGATGATCGTGTTAAGGTGGTTCCACTGTATGTTCCTGATGATGCCTTGGTTAAGGTATTCATGATGCACAGTAGTCATAAATCTGCGTTGGCAAATGCTCCTTTTGCTGCTGGCTTTCGACGTCAGGTAGTGAAACCTCCACCTAGCTTACATAAAACCTAGCTTACATAAAACCTAGCTTACTTAAAACGACCGACTATAGTTTACACTATCAAAGTTTCTGTGATCACAGTAGGAATTTTGCATAGGTAAATTGAAGAATTTGTAAGAAATGTTTGAAGGAACTGATTCGGTGTTAAACACTTATTTACCAAAACAAAATTCCTACTGTGATTCATGCATATATAATATGATAGCGTAAGCCAGTCTTTGGAAATGGAATTTGAAGTGGAGTTCAAAAAAGTTCAAGGCGTTGGTGGATCGGAATCAGAATCAGAATCAATTTATTTGCACTTATTTCTAGCTTACAAAGATATTCATTATTAATATACCATATACATATATTTACATTAAATTATAAAACAAAATATTTATGTCACAAGCGAAGAGTGCGTATTGGCCAAAGGAGCAAACGCTTCGAGTTGGCCACTACCATTATGAAGTTAATAGGAAAAGTGAACGGCACAACTGATGTAGAAATAAGTTATATTAAAGTGCCTATGCGACAATTTTTTTTATGATTGAATAGCAAAGTTCATTTAAAATCATAATATAACTTGTTTTCTAAAACTTTGTATTCTTTCCTGTATGTCAAGATTTTCGACTTTGTTTGATATACAAATGTGACTTAAATGATGTCACACTTCATAATGAGGTTTTAGAAAGAAAACGTTTCCTTGCCAAACATGTGATAATTCCACTGACATTGAAAGTGATATACTTTAAGAGCTATCAAAGCCATCATTTCGTCTGTAAATTTGAGATAATGAGAATTTTAACAAGCTACAACACAGTCTTCTGTAAAACGCATTATGCAGCGTGACGTCTTTAAGTCACATTTGTATATCAAACAAAGTCGAAAATCTTGACATACAGGAAAGATTAAAAAGTTTTAGAAAACAAGTTATACTATGATTTTAAATGAACTTTGCAATTCAATCATAAACAAAATTGTCGCATTGGCACTTTAAAGACAGTTATGTTGGCAGAGATAGCGTAAGTCCGGTAGTATAAAAGAAACGGCAGACCAACGATAGAGTAGCTGTAGCCTTGTGGTAATTATGATAAGTGACCATGAGTGATGCCGGAAATAGTCCTGTAGAGTAGGGACAAAGAAAATATTTAAGAAAATATGTGCTCGAAGTGCTAGTTAAGTGATATGGTGTTACCTGGCGATTTATTTTTTTTGTATATTAGGCTTGTCGTTTATGTATATATTCAGTTTTCGGGACGAAAACAATAAGTGAAGGGATATTGTGGCGTTCATATGTGCATACTGTATTGATGTAAAACTTATATTATAGTAATAGGATTAAGCGGTAGAGACTTTGCTCTTTCCTGACTATCTAGAGCTGTTGATAGGTAAATGACGTAGTTCCTTATTTGGGAGAGTCTCCCACGGAGTATGATATATAAGATTGTGTTTTAAGTTAATAAAAGGTTCTCCATTCTGGCCTTGATTGCGAGCGCTTGTTGTGTACCAACGCAGCACGTTACACTAAACACACGTTTTAAATAAAATATAATGTATGGTGTATATTTATAGATGGATTGTGTAAAGATAGAATTGTGTTTGAAAAAAACAGCCGGAAGAGGAAAAACACATTTGAAAGCGAAATACTCACCACGTCCAAAGGTATAGGTCGTTTTAAGCTATATGATTTGGACTTTACTTTCTTGACATTAGTCTGCTATTTATGTCAGAACTGCAACGGCTTATTCAAGGAGAGAGATGGTGGACCTCCCCCAACGGTCTTCAGACCGTTCTCATGAAAAGTGCAAATCCGACAAGATATTGGGGGAGGTCAGGTGAGGTTAGCAACAATCAAGTCCAATTAAAACTCCCAAGCCGTAGATAGATCGCGTTGCATAATTATCTGATATTAAACCTGTATCAGAATGCTGGAAATGGCCTTTCATGCCCTAGAACTCCAAAATTTTCTAGGAGGAACATGCCCCCTAACACCAGCTGGTGGTCCGTGGATTCACCACTGACTGTTCCTCCCTCCAGAAAATTCCGCCCTGGCTACGCCACTTCAGATCTGTTCTAATTCTACACAGGGATTTGCATTTACAAAGTAGACAAAATCAACAAATATTTGTAGGAAGAATTAAGCCTTAGAAGCTATTTGTTAATGAGATAAGTCAGATAAACACCGTGAACTTCTTTTCATAACATTTACAAGCTATGCTTACAGAATTCATTACAAGGCGCAATAATTTAGAATAATTGAAAACTATAAGTCACCTACGGATACCTACACAGGGCTTCATTTAGCATAAATGCCTTCTTCAATAAGGTTAAGTGTGAAGATCTTTTCGGATTTACTAGTGTTGTCTATGACGTCATTTATGCTAGATAGAGTCCAGTAGTTGTTAAATTTTAAATTAGTAGCATTAACTATGGTCTAGTTCTTTTTGTTTTGATATATAATAGACCTTTCCCGAATTTGCTTGAGTGCACACAAAACAATAGCATGTAATTGAGGCGGGCAATGCAAACCATTGTTCTATAGGCAGTTTACATTTCCCACCTCAATTTCAGGCTATTGTTTTGTGTGTACTCATGCAAGCAAATTCGGGAAAGGTCTATTAATTTATGTTACAATTTTAGCCTGGCTTTGAAGATTTTGCGCATCGTACATGTATTCCCCTTTTGTGTAAATGCTTTTCCTTCTAAAATAATAGCTAATATTGTGTTTTTTTTATTAGTTTACGTAATCACGGCACCTGAGGGCGACAGAATCTATGACAAAAAGCATACTTGCTTCTTCTGCCATAAGGAATATTCTAAAATTGCGCGGCATCTGGAACAAGTACATGGAGAAGAGGAAGAAGTTAAAACAGCCCTCAAATACGACCCAAATGATCCCAAGCGGGTAGAACAATTTGAGAAGTTGTGCCGGATGGGCAACTTCAATCAGAACATGAAGGTTTTAGACATTAATGAAGGCGAACTAAAAGTCGTGAGACGCCCCCCTGCAAACGCTAAAGTCAATCCAAAGGACTACCTTCCATGTAAGTTTTGCCATGGCTTCTTTTTGGACAACGAACTGTGGAGGCATGCTCCAAAATGCAAATTTAGAAATGAGGAAACAGAGTCATCGTCAAAGCGGATGAAATATGATGGCAAATTTATGCTAGCAGCTGGCCAGTTTCCTTCGGGATGTACCAAGTTACTATCGGAAAAAGTTGTTTCCAAAATGGCATGTGATTCCATAAGTCTAATTGTACAAAGCGACGAAACTATTTTGAAACTTGGCGCCCAACTACTGGAAAAGAGAGGAACTGAAAAAGCAACGGAAGTGTCGCAAAAGATGAGGCTTCTTGGTAGGGTGGTCCAGGAGGGACGTAAATTGGTTGGTACAATTGAGGTGACACTGAAGGAACTTTTAAAGCCCGGCCATTTTGACAAACTGATAGACTGTGCACGAAATATGGCAGGATTCGAAGAAAATGATGGCTCATCGTCGAAAAAAAGTTTTAAGGCCCCCGGTATAGCTGTCCACTGTGGATATGAGATAAAGAGGGCAGCAGTGATTATACGGTGCCAAGCACTTAGAGAAATGGACATGAAGAAAAGGGATGAAATCGATGTCTTCCTACAGTTATTCGATGCCGAATGGCACAACAAAGTGACGACGCCAGCATTAAACAATTTAAGCTTAAAGAAGAACAACAAGCCTGATGTCCTTCCGCTCACCGATGACCTTCTTGCAGTGAGAAACTACGTCGTAGGAAGAATTGCTGTTCTCACAGCAACGAAGGATAACTGGAGAGAGTTGGCAGAGGTCACCCTTTCCAGGATGATCATGTTCAACAAGAGACGAGGTAAATATTATCATTGTTAGTGATTGACCGATAATCGGTATTGGTATCGAACCGATTTTTGCCTTATCGGTAGCCAATCGGCATCGGTAGTATCATATGTATTTCCTGATTGTGTAAAACCGATTGTTGAGAATATTCACACTGTAAAAAGTATATACATCGCGCGTTGATGCACGCACAACGAGGCATTGAATAAAAATTACAAATATATACCTTTGGACAATGTTTACAAGAACATGTTTACCAGTAATATACCAACATTTACCCGAACTTTTAATCATTCTAATTTCTAACTAAAGCCTGTTTGTAGTCTGTTTTAGGCTTTAATTAAAAATGTCTAGACAAATTTTAAATCCTTGCGTAACCACATTAAAGATAATTAAATGAATGACGTCACCTTTATTCGATCAACTAATCATATTATGACTTCATTAAAAATCGGTATCAGGTAAGAGTGATGCATGAATAATCGGTAATTCCTGATTGTCACAGAATCGGTCAATCACTAATCATTGTTACTCATTTTACCAATATCGGATGAAACTCAGTGTACTGTCCAAAATGATCAAGACTCAAGTCAATGTTATCTATCTAAGCCGAAGGCGGATAATATTGGCCATAGGCTGAATTATTATGGATGTTTTGCACGGCCCAGCTTATTAATAAATTCAGCAAAAAGAATACTTGGTCCCATGTCAACATTTATTTTAGATTGTACTGTGACCAAATATAATTTCCCTTATACAGTAGGCTTCGTCCCAATTGCACGTAAACTAAGAAATTGATATTATTTGTTCATTTAAGGGGGTGAAACTGCCAAAATGACGGTCGAGACATTTGTATCACGGCCAAATTGGAACAATATCCACAACAAGGAAATCTTCCAGTCACTCTCACCAAGTGAGCAGCAACTTTGCAAACGGTATGTATATAAATTTAAAGGCTAACACATGTTTTCATATTTGAGGAACTAATTTAGTCTATTTCTCAAAATGACGTTTACCTCCAATGCCACAATCGTACGTAAAAATAATCATTGGTAGAAATAATGAATTGACAAAAATTTACCAAACGCAACAAAATATGACAGTTACAAAATGAGAAGTGTGCAGGCTCTTTGACAATAACGCAACTAATCACAAGACTTTATTGATACAAGTAAATTGTCTCTATTTTGTACATGTCCTAAGCTGAACTTGTTTTTGTTTAAGCTTCGACCTGGTAGAAGTAGTTGGAAAAAAACGACGGAAAGTTCCGGTGATTTTAACCGAAGATGTTAAGTGGCTGTCTCAGTAAGAACCATGCAGAGAGTTTCAGGTTGAAAATTAGATTTCCTTTATATTTTTACCATGAACTACCTTTGTCCTAAAAGGTATTAAACTATTACTAGAATTTCTAAATTTTTCTTTTTTTTTGAGTTATGACGAATTTTTGTCTGGACGTCAGCGACATTGAATTTGACCCCAGAATTTTGGAGAATTTTGGAGAATTTTGGAGAATTGGCAGAATTTTTGTCCTTTCATGCAAACGATTCAATTCATCGTATAAAACGATCTTAGTTGCATTGACATTGACTACGGCTGCGACGTATACTGAGATCTGTCCTTTATCTTTACTTTAATCTATACAGCAATAATAATAATTTTACAGTAGTTTGCAGCTAATTGCCATTCTGTGAATAACTTTCAACTTCAATTGGTATTTTTCAGCAAATTTGATTTGTCTCATAATAGTACTTAGTAGTATAAATTATAGCAATAAAAAATACATAACATCGTAGTTTGCATGCAGCGTTTTTGGTATTTGATTTGGGTTAACGATACTGTTCCAGGTTCCACACACTCACAGACCAAGAACAATGACATCTCTCGACATGTCCAAGTTAGTCTGGGAGTATTTGTCCGCACCTGCACAATTTAGTTATTTATTTGGAAACATGTGCATTGCCCAATCATGGATGATATTTTATATAATCAATTTAAGCAAAGCTATGAATTGCGGTTAATGGAGTAATATGTTCTGAAGGCTCTATCTGCCTGAGGGTGTTTTCAGTCTGCCAAAGCATCTGCGTCACAACAATTAATCCGTACCAGGTACGTACAAGGTCCAAGTACCTTGGCAGAACAAGGGAACCGTTTTCTAGCCCTGTTAATATTACAAAATATCTGATAAATATCGAACTTTGGCTGCTAAGCATGTGAACAACTGATGCAAACTTGGGATTAACCAATCAGAAATTATCCTGAAGGTTTTTTCCTTCACGTGCATACGTACAATGGCCCCCTCTTTGCGCAAGGACTTTTGATCGCAATGTCAACGTGCACTGCTCATTCGCAAGACTTTAGCCAGTGCGTTAACATCTCTGGCAAAATTTTTGGCTAAAATTTAAGGGACCAAACCTTGGCAAAGAAGTGGAAATTTAAAAAAAACAACAGACCAATCTTGGAACAAATGGCAAAGCAATGCGCAAGATCACAAGTCCAAGGACGACGCAGTTTCCCTGAGACGTACAAGATCCCATGCATGCATGCAGTGTTCCAGAACCAGAATGTTGCCGCTTGCAATCCACGTTCTGTGACCTCAAACGGAGTGAATTCGTTCCATATTGTTTATATACTTCTCTAATATAACGTTCTTGAATTTACTGCTATATTACACTATTAATATATAACTTTATCTCGCTCTTCTGCTGTCCAACATGAGTCACAATTTGTATTGTATTAGTACGCTATGCATTCGCGCCTACTCAAGGTTACGTGCTATCCTATTATCTCCAGTTGCATGCTATTGCTACTTTGTTTAATTTAATACCATACAAACAAGACACGTAATTAACTGCATATTTAGATTAATATTGTATGCGAATTTGTGTCGCATCCGCTATTCGCTCAGGCGGGAACTATTTTGGAATATCTTAGGCTAGATCTGTTATAACAGCTGTAATACAGCCTTATCGTACTGCTACTTTATACACACGAGTCACGATTCATAATGCACTGTTTGCTGCATTTCACTTAATTTCCTGTGCACAAGTCTTAACACAGTTCTATAGCTATTATTGATACTTTGTATCATGCCAGCCATACGAACAACATGTATTCAACTACAAAAAATTACACGCAGTACAAAGACGTGGTTTTTCTTGTTATATGAGGATGGTTTGTCATAATATAAGGACGGTTTTATTATCCTAGTTGCAAGGACGGTTTATCCTAGTTATAAGGACGGTTTATCCTAGTTAAAATGATTGAGATGTTCATATATAAACCGACCTCACCAGAACCCAACTAGAAAGGTTATGCTGTAGCAAATTAAATGTTTTCTTTGTGCAGATGTATATTTTGTTACACTATACACCATACATATACCATGGCTTACACACAGCTTTATCTTACTTTCCTTAAATTCAAGCCACACATGGCTGTGTATTTACTAAGAACTATGGTGCTATTGTGACTTGTGAGTCGAATAACTCGAAAAACTGCATCTGCGTCGCATCACGAGCTATGTATAATAAGATTACTCAGTTATTTTTCATTAATCTCGCTGGGGAAAATCCCGCACTTTTGGAGTGTCATATAACCAATTTGCGCAATAGTTTTACCCTACACATATCATATACACGGCGTATATATATAAACACGTCATTTTAGTTGACCTGCATCTGGGAACGAAGGCGGACTTATGGCCTCATTAATATCATTATCGAGACGTAAGCATAAGAAAAAATTGCTGAATCTTACGGGCTGCCGCTTTTAAATTTGCATGCTTAGGCAAGTACTTGGTGTTGTTAATATTGAGTGTGACTGAACGGGACTATAGTTATACTAATATACTCGCATACGCAACTATTTCTCGTAGCAAGATTCGAAGAGAAGATGGGTTCCCCACGCTCTTCTCAG